CTATCTATGATGAATAGCAAAAAGGATTAAGAAAAAGTAAATAATTGAATTACAAGCATCACTTGTTACTATCCAACACTACCAAAATTGGGTAAATTTGTTGATTTAGAGCTGGAGATTGATTAATGTAGAAATCATCGTCTCCTCTCTAGTTCCAGTAAATCTAACTCGTAATTACACATTATGGCTTCTATTGAGAATTACAACTAACCTCACTTATCTATCTTAACAGTAGTCTAATAGTTTGTTAATAATTCTGGTAGTTAGTTGTATTAGTTAGTTACATTTTGATTCTTAGTCTAGAAGGTTCTTAGTCACATGTATATAATGTATTGGTGATGAATGAAATAGCAGTTTTTGCTTGGCTATGTTCATAAAATACTCTCTTCTTCTTTCCTTCTTCTTCTTGCTGATCACCATCAATGTCCAGCTATCCATAGCTAGCTGCATGGCAGGTTTACTCACTGATACAGTGAGTTTTGATATGGTATCAGAGCCACGTTGATTTCTCTTGTTTCTGTATCCTTGAGATCTATCTTGGATCTGTTTTTTGTTTTTCAATTTGTTACTTCGTCATGACAGAAACCACTACTCAAGAAACTGCTGCTAGAATTGATACAAGCAGTGTTTTCTATGTTCATCCTTCAGATGATCCAGGAATATCACTTGTTCCAGCTCAGTTTGATGGGGTTGGATACAGATCCTGAAGAAGAGGCATATTACGAGCTCTGTCAGTGAAGAACAAGCTAGTCTTCATTGATGGAAGCTGTGTGAAGACAGCTGAAAATTCTCCTCAATCTTGTCAATGGCAGAGGTGTGATGATTGGTAACCTCGTGGATTTTGAATTCTCTTACAAAAGAGATTGCAAACAGTGTTGAGTATGTCAACAATTCGTCTGAACTTTGGAAGGAACTAGAAGACAGATATGACCAAACAAATGGTGCGAAATTGTATCAAATTCAGAAGGAAATTGATGATCTAACTCAAGGAACTTTAGACATCATTGTCTATTATACAAGGCTGAAAAAGCTCTGGGAAGAGTTGAACACCTTGACTGCAAAGAGCATATGTACTTGTGCCTGTACTTGTGGTGCCAAGGATAGTGTGCACAAGTCTGAACAGGACAGACGTTTAATACAATTCCTTATGGGATTAAATGAGGTTTACACTGTGATCAGAGGGAATATACTCATGATGAATCCTCTTCCTTCTACTGCACAGGCTTTCTCTTTGTTGATTCAAGAGGAAAAACAAAGAGAATACAGACCTAATAGTCGTACACCTATGGAATCGATTTCATTGAATGCAAATGCTGGTAGAGGATCACAAGGTGGTAGAGGTTATAGAACAAACTTTGAAAACAACAGTGATTCAAACATCAACAATAATAGGAGTGCTATGATCTGTGATTTTTGCAAGAAACAAGGTCACATTAAAGAGAAGTGTTACAAGCTACATGGATATCCTCCAAAAAATAATACTCTTAACAGTAGAACAAACAATGCACAACAGTCCAATGCACAACAGTACAGGCAAAACAACAATCAGAACTTCAGAGGAAGAAGGATTATAGCCAATGCACATGGGGAAGAATGCTCACAACAAAACAACATAGTAGAGGGAAAGCACAGATACTTGCTTGAAACAGCTAGAGCTCTCCTCTTTCAGTCCAAATTACCTACCAAGTATTGGGGTGATTGTATCCTTACATCCACTTACATCATTAACAGACTTCCTTCCACATTTCTCCAAAACAAGTGTCCTTATGAGATGCTCTACAAAGAAAAACCAAAGTATAGTCAATTGAGGTCTTTTGGATGCCTATGTTATCCCACACTACCTAAGGTCCATAGAGACAAATTAGAGCCAAGAACCACCCCTCATGTCTTTATAGGATATCCCTCTGGAATCAAAGGGTACAAGGTAATGAGTCTTGCCACAAGGAAAATACAAATCTCAAGAGATGTGATTTTTCATGAAAAGATTTTTCCATTTGCTTTATCTTCAGAAAACACTACATTTTTCCTTCTGTTTTAAAACCTTGTTCTACTGATTTTTATGAACCTTGTGATACATTGTTGAACAACCATTTGGATGTAATTGATGATCATACAACTCTGTCTCTTAATCCTACATCACCACATTCATCATCACATACACAAACTGAATTACCAAATCCACCTATACCACAGAGAAAATCCAACAGAGAAATTAAGACACGTCATCATTTAAAAGATTATATTCTGTCACTCCCTAAGCTAAAAAACCAACTCAAATTCTGTTTCCAACACCAACACCATTTCCAACAATAACCTGGCATCCAATACATTTCTTAATAAACACCATTACATAAGCCCTGAAGTCATTGCTTCTAAAAGTCAAGTCTTGGTTGAAAGCATTTGTTGTGACAGTGAGCCATGTTCTTATGAAGAAGCTGCAAACAGTCATGCATGGCAAAAGGCAATGGAACAAGAATTTGATGCTTTACATGCAAATGAAACTTGAGATCTAGTTAAACTGCCTATAGGGAAACAAGCCATTGGATGCAAATGGGTTTATAAGGTGAAACATAAAGCTGATGGTAGCATAGAGAGGTTCAAGGCCAGATTGGTGGTTAAGGGATACACTCAAAAGGCTGGGATAGATTACAATGAGACATATTCACCTGTTGTTAAAATGACTACTGTGAGAACATTGATAGCATGTGCTGTGAAAAAGGGCTGGGAGTTGTTTCAACTTGATGTCAATAATGCTTTTCTACATGGTGATTTAAATGAAGAAGTATATACGTCAGTACCTCAAGGTCTTGATGTAGGTGAGCCAGGTTTAGTTTGCAAGCTTAACAAGTCCTTATATGGCCTTAAACAAGCCAGCAGACACTGGTATGCTAAATTGACTGAGGCATTATCTCTTAGAGGCTATACGCACTCACACTATGATTATTCTTTGTTCTACAAGAAATCTAATTCACTGGTGGTGTTTGTGGCAGTTTATGTTGATGATATAGTTTTGACAGGCACAGATACAATTGAGATCACTCAACTAAAGATGTACTTGGATGAGACATTCAAGATTAAAGACCTTGGTAGACTTCACTATTTCTCGGGCATGGAAATACTTGACACTGCAGAAGGGGTTCTTATTTCACAAAGGAAGTTTGTATTGGACTTACTGAAGAAGTATGAGTGTTCCAACTACACATCTTTATCATCCCCTCTTGATCCCAATGTTAAACTCAGGGCCAAGGAAGGAAATCCTCTTCCTGATCCTACTTATTACAGGAAACTTGTGGGGAAGTTAAATTTCCTTACCAACACTAGAATGGATATAGCCTTCAGTGTTCAACAGCTGAGCCAGTTCATGCAGGATCCCAGACTTCCTCATTTACAGGCAGCTTTTCACTTACTTAGATACATAAAACAGGATCCTACATTGGGAGTTTATTTGTCAAGAAATTCTGATTGTACCATGAGAGCATATTGTGATTCAGATTGAGCTACATGCCCAGATTCCAGAAGGTCAGTAAGTGGATACTTGGTTTTACTTGGAGATAGCCCTATTAGTTGGAAGTCCAAGAAGCAAGAAATAATCTCATTATCATCTGCAGAGGCTAAATACAGATCACTTAGAAAAGTGGTAGGTGAATTGGTTTGGTTACATAGGCTGATCATTGAGTTAACTATTCCTCACCCTTCTCCTATTGCTGTGTACAGTGACAGTCAAGCTGCCATTCACATAGCACATAATTCTGTTTTTCATGAAAGAACTAAACATATTGAAGTAGATTGCCATTTTGTACGAGACAAGCTGCAAGAGGGACTTATTTTGATTCAACATGTGCCTACAAGTGAACAACTAGCAGATATTTTTACCAAGTCTCTCACTAGTGTCAAACATGCTGCCATCTTGAACAAGTTGGCTGTAAGATCATTACCACCAACTTGAGGAGGGGTATTGAGAATTACAACTAACCTCACTTATCTATCTTAACAGTAGTCTAATAGTTTGTTAATAATTCTGGTAGTTAGTTGTATTAGTTAGTTACTTAGTTAGTTACATTTTAATTCTTAGTCTAGAAGGTTCTTAGTCACATGTATATAATGTATTGGTGATGAATGAAATAGCAGTTTTTGCTTGGCTAAGTTCATAAAACACTCTCTTCTTCTTTCCTTCTTCTTCTCGCTGATCACCATCAATGTCCAGCTATCCATAGCTAGCTGCATTGCAGGTTTACTCACTGATACAGTGAGTTTTGATAGCTTCTTTCCTCTTTCTCCTTCATATCATTTCACTAATGCACAACAATAAGTTATCTAAATTTAATGGATCACAAAAGACGCAAATCACTAATGCACAACAATAAGTTATCCGGTTTTTTTGCATGATTAAGCAATTAGTTGGTATATTATGTAGTCAATATCAAAAATTAGGGATTTAATTATTTTGCGTTTTCCTAGTTTAGATCAACATTGAGTGTTTCCCCCCTTAATTTGTATACAAATTATTCACTAAATACATATCATTGTAATTTTAATATTATTGGACTCTAGTTCAAAAATTGTACAAAATAAATTTTAAAATTAAATGACTATAAAACTTGGTGATCTATTATTTTTTTCGAGTCGATTTAGAAAGATTTATAATACATAATGAGACATAATAAGTAATAAGTAGCAAATTTTTGTTATTATGTAGTCAGATATAGTTTTCTCTTAGGACTTGTTTGATTAGATTAATTATTTAAGGATCAATTATGTCGAAATTGTTCCTCATCTTTCAAAAATACAATTTGTGCACTCTAATTTTTCCAAAACTCATTTAGTGAAATTTTATCAAATGTTTAACTGTATTTAATCTACCCTCATAAAAATAATATTACTATTCTGAAATAACTAATTTATAATAAAATATCCCATAATTTATTTCAATCAAACATTATTTTAAATAAACATGAAAATAAGGTTAAGTTAAAACTAATCTCAAAATTAATTATTACTTGTCCTGCTGTCCATCGATATAGCCTTAAAATTAATCTTGCTCACATAATACTAGGTAAATTGAAACGGAGAAGCACTTTGGGGAAAATTCTCAAAGCACAAACACAAGGTTATTTACTCGTTCATAGCGAAAATGAAGAGTTCAAATTTCTGCTACTCAGATGGAATCCAAGGAAGATGGAGCCTTCCATGTACAATGGGATCTGAAAAACCCCACAAACCATTCTCAATGAAAAATTCAGTCTTGATGACAATTCCTGTGTTGCCAGCAGAACTCATCACTGAAATCCTCTCAGGGTACCAGTGAAATCGCTCTTGAAATTCAGGTCTGTTTCGAAAGCTTGGCTTGCTTTGATCTCTAGCACTGAATTTATCAACACCCATCTCAGCTTATCCACTAATAGCAACAAGGATTACACCCATCATTTGCTTACTATGAATTTTCGTGCAGCTATGAATGGTCTTTATGAGTATACACTTACAGATTTTACTCTTAGTTCCTTACTTTATGAGTCTGTAACTGAGGCATTTGACTTGGATTACCCCTACAAGAAATTGCACAAATATTTTTCGATGGTAGGTTCTGTCAATGGATTGATTTGTCTTGCCATTGAGGAATATGACTTGGTTCTGTGGAATCCATCAATCAGGAAGTACAAAAAATTGCCAGATTCTAAACCTACATTAATGAAGAAAGATTGCTGGCCTTTATATGGTTTTGGATATGATGAAGTATGATTATAAGGTAGTCGCTATTTTTTTGAAATATAGGAGTCGGGATCAAGTTGAGGTTAAAATATATAGTTTAAATAGTGATTCTTGGAAATGTGTCGATGAATGTCCTAATAAGAAGCTATTAAATATATCGGGCAAGTTTGTGAATGGAAAACTTTTTTGGATTACTCATGGCCCTGATTTGTTTAATATGCATAAAGACGGGAACATTATTTCAATTGATTTGGCTGATGAGAAATGGGGAAAGGTGGAGCAGCCCTCCTATGGAATAGGACATTTTTTTTGAGACTTGGAGTGTTTGGAAGTGATTTTTCTATATTTTGTGATAATATGGTTAGTCAGGTAGATGTTTGGGTTATGAAGGTGTATGGAGTTAAAGAATCTTGGACAAAAATGTTAACTATCGAGTATCCCGGTGATCCTTTTGTGTATTATAATTATATCCTGTTTCCACCCTCTTTCATATCAAATAAAGGTGAAATTTTGGTTTGTTTTGTATCTAGTAAAGTCATGACTTATTCTACTTCACTTGATCAAAGAATTAACATCATGACATACAATCCAAAGGATGACTCTTTCAGATATTCCAAGGTTATTAACTTTAACTTTGACAGTTGGCGTTCAGCGGAAATCTACGTTGAAAGCCTAGTTTGTCCTTTATCTGCAGAAGGGAGAAAGAATGCTACAAAAAGGAAGGCTAGAAAAACTCAGGTGAACAACACTTTATTAACAAAATGACTAGTAAGAGTTGCACTTTGTGCATTTTCGTCACATTCTATTGAATTCTGTTTGTTATCTCAAATATAAACAGTACATATGTAAAGGGTGTGTTTAAACCATATTGCTCGAGGATATCGTTAGTCATTTTCCCTTCATGCTCTACTTTTATTAAGCAATAATTTTGTCTTCTAGATCAAACTAATGGTGTAGTAGGTATTTCAAATGTAAGGGCTGGTAGGGTGATGGGCGTGGGGATGAAGATGAGATGTGTTGGAGGATTTTGAGGACACAATCAATGTGGAATGACACTTCAAACTTGTATTCTCTACTTCCACTATAGAAGTCATTTTCAGGGAACATTTTCTGGAAACGTGGATTGTCATAAGTTGTACTTGTGGCTTATTGTTATCATGTCCCAAATGCAGTTGGTAGGGAAGCAAAACTTGTCTATTTTCTACTGGAGTATGCTAATAGGCCCAGTCATTTCCATTTTTCTTGTAATATGAGATACCGCTTAAGAAATCCCGAAATGCACCATCAAATTTACTTGCTTTTATTGTTTATCATTTTTCTGTAAAGTCAATCGATGATGAGGTTCTTGATCTTCCAGAATGAAGAAAGTAGCTATTCTTGGTGACCCCTAATTAACTTGCCTCGCAATGCCAAGGAGAAACCAGAATGTAATATAAACAGAGCAAGCAAATAAAAGTCCTCTTTGCAATGGAAACTGGCATCATGTGAGACTCACAACATTTTCCGGGTATAGGAATTGATATTTTGGATATGGTGAATGATAGCTGCATTGGCCATTCTACTTCTCCTACGAGTTATTACACAGTAACTTGAATCACCATTGCATCCTTTTGAATGGAAAGTTATCATTTGCCAAAACAGGAACAGAGGAGCTTGATGTAGCTACTCTGCTAAAAGGGCACATACCTTCTATTACGGCATGATTCATAAATATGCTCTTTACCTTGACCTCATTTCATTTTTATGTCCTTTTTAACTTTGGGTGTGCACAAATTAACACTTAAGCTTATGTAAATTTAAACAAGTTGACATATGAGTCCTATGTGTCTTAATACACGTTACATGTAGGACATCATGTAGGACACAAATTGTCATTCAGGATATCTTTGACACGGATTGATGAATACTGCCTGTGACTTTAGTCTCAATCTTAATTTCCTCTTGTATTAACGATATACTGCATATTAACTTGAAGTTGCACCATCCTGCCATCAGAGTAGTTAACTATCCTTTTATACTTATTACTATTGTCCACAACATTGAAGTTGAATGGAATCACCTTAAACATGCATGCCTCAAGTATAGTTGGTAAGGGAATCAGTATGAAGCTCATCTTTTGTACTTTAAAAAGGCAGGAAATTTCTGATGAAAAAAAGAAAACGATTTTGCCGCGTTTTAAATGTAGACCGTGCATAGGAATGGCACTTCATGCTGTTCCTTCTTCGTATAAGCTGTTTTATTATGTCATGTAATGTATCAATGTGAAGTTCTTTATTAACTGTTGTGAGATTTCAGGAAGTGAAAGTTGCTCACTGCCTACTGCTTGAATCAAAACAGTGAAGAATGGCCTTTCCGAGCTCTGAATGTTCGTCAAAGGAACTCCGTTGTAGCTTGAACGGGTCATGAACAAGGTCAAAAAAATCTTCTCCTTCCCCTGTATTACTTTTGTATTTTGAGATTGGTCAGAACTACAATATGAATCTTCCCAGAAATAGAATTGACTACCAATTCTGAAGGAACTGAAGTTACATCTCTTTTCCATTCAACAATTCTTTTGCATTTCCACGCCCCTTTAAGACCCCGATAAATGGACAAATTCCTTTTCTTAAGGAAGACATACGTACTTACAAGATTTGTCACTACAAAATGGAAGCAGAAATTTGAATAATCATTCAAATGAAAGAGAGAAGTAACAAAGTCTATCAATGTCTGAATTTTCATCATTTGTTGGTTCATATCAACTATTCCATCACCTAGTTGATCTACATCTTCATTCAATTCATAGGCGCGCCTGTATCTTCATCATCAGTCTCTTCAGTAGCGTCCTCATCTTGAACATCATTTTACTCATTAGCACCTAAATTTTTGTTCATTAGTGCTTCCATCTTGATCATTAGCGCCTACTTCATTAATGCCATATTCTTGATCAGCCTTTTGTTCATTCGTACCTTCAACTTTCACATATCATTCAATTTTTGTCTTTAATCTTTATAATTTCACTTTATTTTATTGTTTATTCAAGCAACTTGATTCTTGTCATTATTTTTTTAAATAAACGGAATTAGAAAAAATGAAATTTAATTAATTTGTATATGTTTAAAATTTTAATTGCATAGGTACCAATTAGGTCATAATATGTAGCATGTATATTTCTGTATATATCTTGTTTTCTTGTATTCGTGCTATTTTTATCTGAAAAAATTGGTATATATGAATGTATTGAAATATGTTGAAAAGTAAAAGCCATCGAGCTCCAAAGATTGATACAAAAAAAAAAAGATATGTGAAGCAAACTGTAAAATAATTTATGTTAAAATAAAGTTATATATATCTAATTAATAAGAATGTCATACAACTTCAATTAATTTTGTCGTCAAAAAACTTCAATTAATTTCAAACTGTTAAATATTAATAACTAAATGATAATTATTTAAGAAAAATAGTAAATAATATTTGTCTATTGTAAAGTCGTTTAATGAAAGACAAAGATTTAATCAATATTTTTAATGATCTTCATGATTTTACGAAAACTAGTTAAGTGAACTTGGTTTGCACGTGTGCAACATTAATTAATTAATTAATATAATTAAGGATATTTATGCTTTTAAAGTAATGTAAATAGATACAAATATTGTCTCGGTTCATTTTTAATTGTCACATTTGGGTCTTAAAAAGTCATTTGAGAAATAAGCATTAAGGATAAGATATAGAAAAAATAATTTTTTTTTCATATGTTGAAAATAACATGTAAAAGTAAAATTTATATTTGAAATAATAGATAACTAAAAGTGAATAGAGGAATAGATGTATTTTACTTCATTAAATTACTTTAACTATGATAAGTTATGCAGAAAATTGTCAAATTGCTTGTCCCAAAAATGTCTTATTATTATTTTTGGTAAATTTTTGGTAAAGAAATGTCCTAATACATTTTTTTTCCTAATAAAAATATTGTAACCATCATTAATTTTTATGTATGTAATTCATCATTTATTTTTATTTAGATAACGATAAAAAAATTCTAATAAAAAAATAAAAAATACTTCTCGATACATTCAAAATCGAAGGATGATAAACACTTATTAATTATTGATTTTAAAGTTAAGATACAATAATTATAATGGTTAATGCATAAAACAATATAGTTTATTAAATTGCTTCACAATACCAAATATGTTTAAAATATCATCAATGAAGTTATTGCGGACCATTTTTTCATATTAACTTCAAAATTAAGAAATATATTGGCAAATTGCAATAATGATTAAGAAATAAGTATATTCTCTATTTTATTAATATATTTTAATAGTTTTATAAATGAGAAATAATGATGCAATTAATATGATATTATATATAAGACATACATTATTTAAGAAAATATAAAATATTACTCTAATTAATTGATAAAAGGAGATTACACTTTTATATTGGTCAAAGGGTTTTAAAAGAAAAAGAAATACATACAATTTTTTTAGAATAATATTTTATTAAGATTAATGTAGTTTAAAAGATAAATTAATTAGGAAAAGGTAAATTTGTATATGAATTACCTTGTTTGATATGAAAACTTGCTAATGTAAAGAATACAATTAGAATAACGGTCAATACAATTGCAAATCTGATTTTATCTTCACCTTTTTTTTTTGAGTTAATACCTCAGATGGTCACTCAACTATGCATTCTTCTCTCAGAAAGTTACTCAACTTTTAATTCACTCAAAAGTTACTCAACTATTGCTTTCTTTCACAGAAAGTCACTCAACTTTGAATTTTAACTCAAAAGTCACTCAACTATCCACTCTTTCCTCAAAAAATCACTCAACTATCCACTCTTTCCTCAAAAAGTTACTCAATCTATTAAATTATTTTTTAATTAAAAATTGTTAATATTAATTATTTATATAACAAACCAAAAATTTTAAAAAATAAATTAAATCATTTAGTGATCCACCCACCTAACCCGACCCATTAAAAAATATGATATGGCCCATTTTATTTTGTCTTTAATCCTAAATTAATCTCTCT